GTCTTGCCCATAAGAATTTGATGATGAGATGAACTCAACTGAATTGATTGCTGAATTCTACTGAATGACGCTGAATTGAGATGAAATATGCTAAGTGGAGTTGAATAATTGCTGAATTTAGATAATTATGTCTGAATTTAGCCAGTAAGTGCTGAATTCAGCTTAGCAATACTGAGTTTAGCCAGAAAATGCTAAATTGAGCCAGAAAATGATGAATTCAACTTAAAAATGTTAAAATGAGCCAGAGAGTGCTGATTTTAGCTTTGCATTGCTGAATTGAGCCAGAAAATAATGAATTCAGCCTAGAAATGCTAAGTTTGATATAACAAATACTGAATTCAGTTGGATAGATCTGAATTTTGCACTAATTCATTTGATTAGTGCTGAATTACATAACTTTTATAAAACTTAGTGAAATTACTAAGAACTAGATTCAAACTTCATCAAGCAATTAGATTTCTTTGATTAAAACCACAATAAACGACAGCAATCCTCATTAAATTCTCAAACAACTCATTATTCACCTTTCTATCATCATATTCTCGCCAAAAATTATCATCTTCATAACATTCTCATTTTCATGATTAATTTCTTCTCATTGATTTTCATTTAGAGCATTTTTATAATAAAGAAATAAAAGTCGTGAGTGTGTGTTGGTGGTGGTTGTTGTTATGTGGTACAAAATGAACTCAAGCGTGGCGAAATTTTTTTTTTTTCCATAATAATTATCATTATTTTTTTTTTATTATTTATTATTATTTTTTTGGTAGCTCTATATTTTCATCATAACATAAGCTTCTCTGTCTCTAAAGTATTGTGTATATTCATTCATATATAAATATTTGTTTTCAGCTATATATAACTTTCATCCTTTTTTGTGTTATTTTATTCATTTTTCATTTTCATCCTTAATAAAAAGCGTAGAGAGCAGATTAAATACAAAAAATATATGTTCATTATACGTTTATAAATTTTTAATATCCATTTTTTTTTGTTTCTTTTTCACATTTTTTTATTTCATCATTTTTTAAAAAAATGTTTTCTTCCCTTTTTTCATCCACTCCGTGTGTTTGTTTGCTGTTCATTTTTTAAACTAACTCTTCTCAACATTTTTTTGATGTCAAAACTGAATATTCATTCTTCATCATCATCATCTTCTTGATCTCGATTTGCATTGGAAATATTTGTCGTACAATAAAAAAAATGTTTTTTTTTCTATGCTGTGTTGGGGAAAAATGTGCAATCAATCAAATTCCGCCTTACTTCTTTGCCACCATAAAAAGACGTTAGAAAGTCAAGCTCTACACAAAAACGAGAGGAGTAAACCTTTTACGAGGAAAGAGTATTATTATTTTTTTATGATGATGACGAGTGACTCATATCATTTGAAAGTGAAGCAAGTTGTAACTAAGTAAGCGATTGGTTGGTTGGGGGTAAGGCGATGTTCTTGTTGATTGATTTGAGAGAATTTTGAGGGATGGATAGGGGAACTGAGGTGCAATTTTGACTGAAGGTTGAGTATTTAATAGAATTTTTGCATTTTTGAGTGTTTTATTCATCATTTTTACCTCAATTTGATCATATTTAGGAGGATTATGTTTTATAACCAACAAATTAGTAAATTATGTTGTCGAACCAAATAATTGCAAGATTTTTAAGCTGTCTTCTAATTTAAGGATTTTTAAAAATCTACACTTGTTACTGGAAGGTAGAACATCAAATGATTTAATGCCTACATCAACGATACTGTTAAAATCAGATCAATAGTTAAAGAGTGCAATCTGCCAAACTTTTTAGCATCCCACAGTAGCTTAGTGGTAAGAGCTTAGGACCGAAAATCATAAGAGCGCAGGTTCGATTCCCAGTAATGACTGATTTACCAGAACTATTTAGGGGTCGTTCACTTAAGACGTCCGAAATTAACGATCATTTTTCAAAAAATAACAATGGATTTCCTGGAATTTCTATTGTTCTTTTCTTGCTGAACCCCCCCCCCCCCCCCCCCTGGACGTCATAAGTGAACGGCCCCTTAACAATGTCCCTATTCAGGTCACCTTAAGGCAATACATTTGATATCATCGATTGAACCTTTAAACATTTAAATCTTCCAGTCTAAACTGTACCTCATACCCCCTCAATCCCACCCCTTACATCTTTCCCATCAGTAAATTCCAATGCATAACATCATTTCGCAATCTTACAAGCTCTATTTATGATTTTAATTATAATTATCTTCATAATTACTTTACAATTAGCTTTTTGCAATGCTTCATAGCTTTAACTCTTTAAACTACCGCGCGTAAAGCACGATATCACACAATAAAATGTATACGTGTGTTCTGTGAGATGGTGACATGGATAGGAAAATGAACACTAGAAGAGAATTTTTAATTTTTTGATAATCCACAGTTATTTTGACGATTTTTCATGTTGTTTTTTTCACAAAAAATATTTTTTTTTCTTTTTTTCATCGAAAAGAAAAGAAATAATTTAAAGAATCTTTTTTTCTTAGGTTTACAAATCTAACATTTTTCTTTAAATTTAATTTCCTCATTTTTTGTTTTTTTCTTAGTTTAGATTTTTTATTTTCTTATTCCACCTTAGCGCTAGTGTTCTTCTCTTCTAAATCCTTATGAGCTATCTAGTGAGATGAGAAACAGGGAAATTAAAAATGAACTTTAAGTATTTTTTTTTGTATTAATTCTTCGATTTTTTTTTTCTTTATGGACATGAAGAATTTAATATTTTCTTTTAATTTTCACTGGGAAATTTGTGAACTTTATATTTTGTTGTGACGGAAAAGAATGATGAAGTTGTTGAAGTTTGGAAGATTTTGGTGAGAAAGTATGGGTTGGAGATGGTTTGTCAAATAATTTTGAAAAGTTTTTGGACAACTTTGAAAATATTTTTGATTTTTTTAAGTTTGCTGATAATTTTGAATTTTTTTAAAAATTTAAATTTTTTTTGAAGATTACAAAAAGTTTTGATTTTTTAAAAAAAACTTTAAAATTTTTAAAAAAATGTTTTAAACTCTTTTCGAAGATTTTTAATTTTTTTCTTCATATTTTAGACATTTTGAAATTTAATTTTGACTTTTTCTAATCTCCAAACCCCCATGTACCCCCACCACAACCCTCCAAAATTTCCTTCCCAATCATATCAAGTTTTTGCTTATGTTTTCAATTTTTTCATCATCTTAATTTACTTTTTTTCTCTTTCATTTTTAACAAACAAAAAAAAGTGATTTAATCAATTTTCATGGGACCAGCAGCAGACACTTATATATAAATCCATTTAATAATCATTATTATTACTTTTTTTTTAATTCATTATCATTATTTTTTTTCTTATTATTTCTTCTTTTTTTAATTTTAAGTGTGTGTTCGTGGCTTAATGTTTAAATGTGTAAATGTGTAGTTTGTATGTATGTGTGTGAACGTGTAAATGTCGTCAAATAAAAAAGCATTTTTCAATTATTATTTTTCTCATTTTTTTGTTTCTGCCTTTTAAAAAAAATCAAAAAGATTTAATGAACTTTTTGCTTTGCTTTAAGTACTCCATTTTCTAACATTTACAGCTACAACTTATATATCATGCGTTTCAGCATCTTCTCATACAAAAAAAGAGATTGAAACATTTTTCATTATTTTCTTCACATTTGTGATTTCTTAGCAATTTTTTACTTCTTCTTCTTCTTCTTTCTTGACTACATAACAAAATTAATTCACTTTCAATTTATTTATAAACTTCACTCTTACCATTTCTACCACTTCACCTTTTGTAGTTCCTTTTCTAGTATTCAATTTATTAATTTAATTAGCTTATTGGGTTTTTGATGCTGTTGTCTATGTTGCTGTAGTTGGAGCTACTATTTTATGTTGGTGAAACTAGGTTTAAACTAGCCAAATGTCTGCTTAACTCCTAGAGCAGTGCTGGCCAACCTTTTTTATGCAGCGACACACCTTGGTGGTAAGTCACGACATAAACCACATACAGCATAAGGTTTGTGAGATATCCCTAACGTTTTAACAGCACACTAGTGTACCGCGGCACATGGGTTGGACATCCCTGTTCAAGAGAATTTAGAAGCTTGTCCAGATTTGAGTTTAATTAACTCAGAAATTTGGACTCAATTACTTTTTGATCCTTAAAAATTCCCTTAATAAAAATTTCAGCATTAAAGTGTTGAAAGCATGTCAAATACTTTTCTGTGACTAGATAAGCATCTACATTTTGTAAGCGCTGCAGGGATTTAATAAAATTAGATGCAATTTTCATCCTCGAATAGGTTTTGTTTGCATTGAACTTTGACTTTGAGCTGTGGAGTTCTTAGAATGAATTTTGATTAAACTTTGGAATGGATTTGATTTGATTTTGGAATGTCTGTCAATTTCTAGCCTGTCCTGCAGCTTATTTTGCTCTAATCTTGACTTTTGAGTATTACCATAAGATTTTTTGATTTTTAATAGCTACTAGATACGGACATCCCTTAATAAACTGATTAATAGGTAGTTTATTGTCACAAATTCAAGAATCTATTAGATTTTGAGCCACAGCATCAAAAATTCTACCAAACTTACGTATTCTGGATGTATGTTGTAATCTTGTGTATTAACAACTTCTTAGAATCTTAATCTTCCCCCAAAGTGACCCACTGGAAGTGCCAAAGCATTAATGTAGAAGCATACCTGCAGTTCTTCATCTTGTTGCTCCGAAATTAATTAAAATTCCGAAATTCACAGTTCCATTCCTTCCAAATCTAATTAAATATGCCCACGCCCATTACGAATAAAATAAATAGCAGCAATTACAGCAACATTAACAACAGCATTTCAAAATTATGTCGGAGAATTATTGTTGATGTCGTGGGTGGATTGAAAAATTTCAATATTTTTTTTTTCACTTTATGTTCTCGTAATTTATCAATTTTGTCCTCAATTAAAGTGAATTAATAATGCGAAAAAATTATAAAAAATTATTTAATAAAATATTGACTTACACAAACACATGACTAACGCATAAATATATATAAATATCTATTTATATTTATAAGGAGATGTGTTGGGGTGGTGTATGTATATATATAAATATTCTCATTTTATCATCAGAAACAGAGGAGACCAAAAAAGGAATAACACAATTTTTTTTTTATTTTCTTCGGAGAATGAAAATGAGAAAATTTTACACTTCAAAGGAATTTTTTTACATTTACAAAGTTTTTTTTTCATGCAACATTTTTTAATTAATTTTTTTTTTCATGTCTAAAGAGGTTGTTGCTTGGGCTCGGTTCTTGAGATTTCTATTAGAAAAAAAAAGTTTATGACTTTTTTTTTAATTTAATGTTTTATCAACTTAATGATCTATTCCGTGAAGTATTTGTATGTTGGATTCTCGTATCCATTTATTTGCATATTGGCTACATGTCGTTCTTCTGGTGTGACTGGGACGGCGACCGTCTGTAAAAATTAAGTTGGGGATTAGTACATTTTTTGATTGATGGGTTTTTATTTCAAGGTGTGGAATTGTTATGGGGGTCGTTCACAAATGATATCTATCTGGGATGTTGGACATACTCTACAAGTACAGATAGCCATACCCAATCAACAAGAAGCATCTACAAACGTACCCTCATAATCAGCATTACAAACATTTTGAACAACCCTTAAAATCCACCCAATTATCCATTCAACTCTCAATCACTCATCCAGTCAGCCACAAACTTACTATCCCACAGAAATGTCATTAGCAACTCACCTGATCAACTTCAACAAATCCTTGAGCATGTGGCGAACGTGATGCTCGATATTTTGCAACGGCTACACCAACAAATACTGCTGCCATTAATGCAATACCGGCAAATGCTAATGTGAAATAGACATTGCGTCCCTCACGACCGCCTGGTCCATAAATTTCACGACGGACTGAGAAGCTCTTCAGATGAGAAAGTAGAAAAAGAATTGGAAAGATTTATGTAATAATGAAAGTATAATGGAACACAGCATGACAACTTACTGCTTCTCCATGTCCAATATCATGTAAATGAACATGATTCATTTGTGGCTCGGTTTCTTGATGGGCGACAGCTGCAGCAACCTCCTCGACGGCTCGTTGAACTGCTGCATCATCAACAGTTGGTAATGATGTTGGCGATGTGCTGTGTGGAAGGCAAAAGACATTTTTAGTTTAGAAACATTTTCGGACAGACTTGAGGCAAAAAGGAATAAAAAATCATCAAACTCATTCCACTTACATATAGACAGACTCCTCGGTATATTCAACAGTTGTTTCTTTGACATCAATTGCAGCTTCACTTGTCTGTTCCTTTGATGATTGTTGAGCTGTTTCTGTCTTTACTTCTAACTCTATTTGCTCTTTCTCCTTTAACTGTTGTGCACGATATGCCTTCTCAGCATTCTTTGCCTGAAGACGCATTTTCTCCTCGCGAATTTTCTCACGTTCCTGTGCACGTTGTTCCTTTCGTTGCTTCTCAGCTACTCGCTGTCGCTCTCTCTCATTTACTTTACGTTCAATATCAACACGATACTTATCCAAAATTGATGATTCTGCATCTTCTGTCATTGCAAGTAATAATCCAGGTGTATCGTCCTTTGAGCGTAATGCCTGAATATAATCTTCCATTAACTGAGACAATTTCTTTGATAGTGATGGATATCTCTTCAACATTGTCATTGATTGATTTACTGCTCGGTCGATGTCAATTAATCGTTCAAGTGTACGTGGACGTTCTTGGGCTGCTGCTTCAAGTCCTCCGGTACCTCCTGAACTTAATAAGTGACGATAATGAGCTAATGCATGTGCACGGTCTTTATGGAGAGCACGAAGGAGTTTCTGTAAGCATTTCTCAACTCGGTGGCCCTAAAATTGAAGGATAGTGGTGGTCAGAAATTGAATTATTAAAGTGTGTTCATAATTCAAATTTGAAAAATTCGTTAAAATTTCAAATTTGAAAAGTTTGTTAAAAATTCAAATTTAAAAAGTTCGTTAAAAATTCAAATTCTAAACTTCCGTTTAAAAAGGAATAAATTAAGTTCTTTAAAACAATTCACTTTAAAATTTTTTTAAAGCTTCTGCAAACTTCATAAAAAATACTGAATAACAGAAGCTTTTCAAACCGTGACACCCGACCACTTATTTTTCGACCAAATCAAACAAACATTTCGCAAAAAAAAATATGAAAAGTTTTCATCTCACATTTGGTGGCATTTCGGTTAAAGCCTGTGTATAACATGTCATAGCCTCACGTTTACGTTGATTGATGTGTGCCAGTACACGTTGTTGATGCATTGCGGCCAATTGATGCTTCTCGGCATTGCCCTCTTCCTCCAATGCTTGTACTGATGTCTAAAATGTAAAATATTAAAATTAGTTTTTTTCTTAACAGTTCGAGGTATAACAAGGTTGGGCATAATATACTACTTGGAATCGGGCTGTCATCTTCTGCTTAAAGCTTTGGGCTGATTTTGGATCGGCTAAACGCATATCTTGGTAGCGCTCCTCCAAATCAGACCAATCTTTCATGACTCGTGTCACCTTTTCACGATGTGCTTCCTCCAAACGCTGTTGTGCCTCCTGATTTTGAGTTTTTGTAAGGTTTTTGGAATAAAAAAATTTAAAATTTCAATTTCCGTTAAATTTTTGCACACCAAATTAAAAAAAGAAAAAAAAATAATTAAAATAAAGAAAAACAAAAAATAAAGAAAGAAAAATGTGAGTGAGAAAAATATTTTAAAATACTATTTGCAAAATTTTTACATCTAGTCCTACTTTATAGCTTTGATGTTCGTTTCTGGGATCGAAATGTGTAAAGTATGGATCAGGAGTTGGAATTGATGTGCTCTGGACGTCATTTGATTGCTGTGAGATTGGAATTTCTGATGGCTTTTCCGGTACTTGTGATGTTGTTTGTGGATTAACATAATCATTAATTGGAATAGCCTGGGTCGATGTACTCGTTACAGATGAAGCTGTGAATCCTAAACAAGATTAGAGAAATGATAAATTACAATATTTATGATTTTTATACCATCATTAATAAAATCTGAGTCTATCGCCGGTGTTTCTTCGTCAGATTCATAATCATCATCGTCGTCCTCTTCTTCTAGTGTTTCAAGTGGCTCATCTGCAACCATTTCATCTTGATCGTCTAAATCTTCATCGTCATCTAAATCATCAGAGAAATTATCTTCAGAATCGTCGAGTGAGGGTAAAATTTCTGATTCTGGTGGCATGACTGGAAGGTCGGTCTTCTTTACTTTCGTTGAAACTGGAATTGGAGAAAATTGAATGATTGGAGATTAGTAAAATTGAATGAGATATATATTGGAATATTCATTAGATTGGTTCTTAATAGTCTGAATAAGTTTTCGAAAAAAAAATTGAATTGGTTCTCAAAATTTGGAATTGGTTCTCAAAAGTAAGAATTGATTCTCAAAACTCAGAATTGGTTCTCAAAAGTCAGAATTGGTTCTCAAAAGTCAGAATTGGTTCTCATAAATTAGAATTGGTTCTCAATATTGAGAATTGGTTCTTAAAAAGACTGAATTGGTTCTCAAAAGTCAGAATTGGTTCTAAAAAAGACTGAATTGGTTTGCAAAAGTAAAAATTGGTTCTCAAAAGTCAGAATTGGTTCTCAAAAGTCAGAATTGGTTCCCAAAAGTTAGAATTGGTTCTTAAAAAGACTGAATAAGTTCGCAAAAGTAAAAATTGGTTCTCAAAAGACTGAATTGGTTCTCAAATGTCAGAATTGATTCTCAAAAAGGTTGAATTGGTTCTCAAAAGTCAGAATTGGTTCTCAAAATTCAGAATTGATTCGCAAAAGTCAGAATTGGTTCTCAAAAGTCAGAATTGGTTCTCAAAAGTCAGAATTGGTTCTTAAAAAGACTGAATTGGTTCACAAAAGTAAGAATTGGTTCTTAAAAAGACTGAATAAGTTCACAAAAGTAAAAATTGGTTCTCAAAAGTCAGAATTGGTTCTCAAAATATTGGATTGGTTCTCAAAATTCAGAATTGGTTCTCAAAAGTCAGAATTGGTTCACAAAAGTAAGAATTGGTTCTTAAAAAGACTGAATTGGTTCGCAAAAGTAAAATTTGGTTCTCGAAAGTCAGAATTGGTTCTCAAAAAATATAAATATCATAATATAAAAAAGCTCCTCATAAAATTCCAAACAAATTAAAAAGATCAAGTTGTCTCCAGGTCAAATTCACTGAACCAAAATCATTAAAAGCCTTGCAATATTTCCATTATTAATATTTAAAGCTTCATTTTTCCTATAAAAATTTCCGTTCCTTTTTTTCCCTTTTCATCGCCCATAAAATTTTATACAGTCACAAATTTGACCCCGCATTGAAAAAATATAAAAGTGAATGAATTTAAACAACATTAAAAATTTAACCAGAAATTAATTATTTAAGTACCACATAGCGACCACATTTGCTTTATGAACGACTATAATTTTTATCGTGGCGACAATTAATTAAAGCTTATTGTATTTTCGGGACTTGACGATGGAGTTTCCTTTATTGCGAAAATGCGGGACGGACGAGTGAAACGTGTTGGAATTGACGAAAAAAAATATTAAGTCCGTGGGATTATTTAAAAGGCTTAAGTTGCCCCGAAGTCTGGTTAGGCTCGAGAAAATTTATGGCACTATAATTAATCAATTTCTCCAATAGCGGCAGACATTCTTGCAAGCTTAAGTTATTTCAATTTGCTGTCATGTCAAAACATACTAAAAAAACTTTGTTCATATCCAACGATCCAATTCGCATACTATACAGATTGGAGAGATGCCAGATATCGATAAAAAATATTTTTTTGCCCCGGTGCTGGTAAGGCACAAAAAAAACGTTCATTTTCATTTACAATTTAATTTATTAAAATGCCTTTTGTGAGAAAAAAAATTTAAAACTGATTCAATTATTGAAAATTAAAATGTTGAATTCGTTGTAACTTTATTGATTGTAACCCGATTAATAAGTTTTTGTTTTTTACTAATTTTGTATGGAAAAGGCATTGATTCATTGTAAAAGCTTTAACTGAAAATGAATTTATTGATATTGAGTGGCTATTTGCTGTAATTCGGATTTTATTAATAAAGAGCTTTGTAATTTTTAATCGAATTTAAGTTTGAAAAATAACCGATTATCAACATTGGTCAGGCATTTAGTCATTCTGCAAAAAAATAATGAAATTTTCGGATGAAAAGATGTTAATTGCATTTTTAATGGAATTGTAGCTTTACATTGTTGTTTTTGTTTGCTAAATTAATGAATGATCAATATTGATTGAAAGCTTCATTACAGGTAATTGCTAGTATAAATACCAATAAAATGTAAGGTCAATATTTAACATTTTAAAATTTTGTGACATTTGACTGATTCTTTGTGATATTCCGTGCATTTTTTTATATCCTTGTTAAATCAACAGCAAACTATGTGTATCGATAATTGTCACATGGAAGTCGAACTCAATTATTAGAGATAGAAATCAGATATTTTGTTTAAGAACTTTGTTGTAGTAGCTTAGCAGATTCACTGGACTTAATAAACTTGAATTCCCGATCCATGCATTGTTTTACTAATGATTCCTCACTCCTAGTGTCCAACCTAAAGTGTCGAACGATTTATTAGTAAATATACCATAACGAGGACAGGCCTCTGTGGCAAAGAGGTTAAGAATCAAACCAGAAAATTTGTAATCTTGTCTCTGCAAGGACGTGGGTTCGATTCCCAACAGTGACTAATCTTTCAACTTCTATACTGATTAGTGCTTCCCAAATTATTCTCTGCGACACACTTACTTCAATAACAAGACTTTCAAGTGTATCGTGAAATGCTTCGTGACTTATCAAACTTATACTAGATTCCTAGTTTTGTTTCTCGCGCTCTACAAAGTTTAAGGACAACTGATTAAAAGAATATGAAGCTTATTTTCATGTTGAGCTATTCAGCAAATCTAAGACAACCCATCTCGATTTTTCTAAAGAAAATGCTCAAATTCGCTTGCATTTTGTGTTTTAGTAGTTAAAAATAAGTTCTCGAGGTCTGAATCTTTCCTTTTCAAAGAATCGACAAGTGTCTACTGAACAATCAAGTTGTAATCATTTTTGAAAAGAACCAGTCTTGAAAACTATTAGATCTCATCTGGACATCCTATTCCTCTTTGTAATCAGCACTGCCACGCAAATAATCTCCATTGATCTTAATATAATAAACCCACTCAGTTAACAGCTCACAAAAACTTTATTTATAAAATCTTAATCCAGCAAATCTCCATTCATCTAAAAACATTCTTCACAGAAACTTAAAAAAATTCCTTTAAGCAAAAAAAATAAATTTTATTCCTCTTAATTATTCTCATCTTACAGTTGAATGACCAAAAATTCCTCAGCAAAAAACTTTTAATTAAAATCCCATTAAATATCGTACTTGTGCCTGCCTTAAGAAGATTACTATCAAAAGAAGAATTTCCAAGTTAACTCGAAAAAAAAAATTCTTTTTCCTTCCTTTTCTATTTTATAAAAATAGCAGCACCAACTTCCTCTAGACAAAATAAAAAAATAAAATAAAAAGTACATGAATGGATAAATAAAATATAAAGTACGAGAAGGATGTATTTAAAAAATAATTAAAAATTAATCCATTGGGATTTGTGCCTTTAAATGGAGCCTTCATATAATTTTTTTCGGGGTATTTACTTTCCGGAAAAAAAGTCAGTTTCATTTTTTTTTTAAATTTGCCAAGCACTTTATCATCATTAATGTTATTTTATGTACATCCCGAACTACTTACAGCGAGACATTAACAAATGAATACGAGATACATCCCAAAAAAATTAAATGATGGACACAGTCATGGATTTATCTCAAACAAACAGCATTTCTGGCGCGCATATTGCCAACACATTTATCACAAGCGAGTGGAAATTTAATTTAGCGCAATGTTAACATTTTTTACTGTGCTAGCTCCACTTATCATTCGAGTATGAATGCTTGTTTGTAGAACTGATAGCAAAAGAAATGGCGAAATGGTTGAGGATAAAAGGAAATGAAAAATGAATGATGCGCCGTTTTTTTTAAATTTTTTAAGTATAATTGTTGAAAATTTAAGAGCGTAAAAAAGCAAATTTAATGTTTGCTGCAGAGGAAAGGTTATTTTCCTGTGTCATAGAAATTATTTAGTGAATAGATGATAAGAGATGGTCTAGAAAAACTCGGAGAATGAAGATTTGAAGGTTTTGATAAACGAAATAAGATAAAAGAGCTCGGAAGTGCACTGAACAATGTATAATCTAGAAGAATGATGCTGAATTCATCTGAATAATGCAGTTAAGTTATATAATGATGATTTTTGCTGAATTGAGATGATTAATGCTGATCTGAGCTGAATTGAAGTGAATTGAGATGAATTGAACTCGATTAAGATGAATTGACATTAAGAATGCTGAATGAAACTGAATAATGCTTAATTGAGTTATATAACGATGAATTTGTTGCTGAATTGAGGTGAATAATGCTGATCTGAGCTGAATTGAAATAAATTGAGCTGCATTGAAATAAATTGAGCTGAGTTGAACTGGATTAATATGAATTGACCTTAAGAATGCTGAATTAAGCTGAATAATGCTTAATTGAGTTATATAACGATGAATTTGTTGCTGAATTGAGCTGAATATTGCTTAATTGGTTTGAATCGAGTTAGATTTTGCTAAATTGAGCTTAATAATGCTGATTTGAGCTAAATAATGCTGAGTATTGCTGAATTGAGCTGAATTAAAGTAAATTTATATTGAACTAGGACTTAAAATACTGAATTTAACCAAATTGATTGATTTTTTTTTACTATAGTAATGAATGTGAGTAGTTACATTCAGCTAAACTTGATGCTTATCAACTTAATTCAACTAATTAATGCTTAGCAACTTAGAATCAAAGCAGTACAACATCGGGTTTCATCAATTCTTTAAATGAATTATTCAAAATAGCTCATAGCTTCATCTCTAACCCTTAAAGTTAATTACTCATCATAAATCCCTTACTTCCCATTGTGAAAAAATGATTCCTACATCACCCATAATGTCTATGACCACCACTAAACATCATTTTCCATTTACATAATTTCATCAAGCTATTAATAATGGCTATTAATAATTAAATTCTCATTACATATGGACAAAGCTTGTACAATCATGTGCGTGTAATTGTACATTTACAATTTTTCATAGCTTCAACATATTGCGAGAAAAAAATGAGCAGCAGATGTCTAATTGTTCTAATTACGAACTTTATAACATTATTTTTTGTTTTTTTTAAAATTGCCATAAAAAACACATTGTTCCTGTTTATTTTTCCGTACAGACTTTAATGTCAATAATTTATAAAGCCACATAAATTTTAAAGCTTTCAATTTCATACGAAAAAATAATTTTCTTTTTTCCTCAATTTTTTTGTAATTCATTGAACTGAATCGATTTATTAGCGAAGGAGATTTTTCAATAAACAATTATTGAGAACTTTATGACTCGTTTGTTTAGCCGTTTGTCTAGCTTGAGTGACTAAATGACTTTTGTCTGAATCACTAGACTCAATGTCTGCGTCTTTATGGGAAATGTTTGTAGAAGTTATTGAAAATTTATTCGGATTATTGACGGTATTTATTAGTCAATAGAAAGCATTTTGTGTCTTTTTTATGTGGTCGTACATTGAAATTTGTTTTCAAGAGAAAGAAAGAGTTGTTGAAATGTTTGCGGACTGGGATTATGACAGGAACAACAAAGTTTTTTTTATGAAGTTGTGAATTGAGTTTGATGAACTTTTTTGAACTGTTGGTTGAGGTCAAAATATGAGGTTTTGTGTAGATTAATGCCATATCAACAATAGGTTATGTTGTAATTGAGGGATTGGAATCTTATGGGAATCGAACTCATATGTTATTAACATCAAGAGCTTAAGACTTTTGGTATGGGGGCAATTATGTCTTTATAAAGCTGGATACCTTTGATTCTATGCATGCCTAGTGTTTAGACTAAGATATACTTGTGCGAAAGCATATCTCAATAACGAGAAGCCAATATCAATAAAGTTCAATCTTTAAACACCGTGAACCTCATAAGCACCCTTTCCCTACTAAAATGCTTTCCCAACTTGCTTATTTCAGCCCCATACATCACATGAAATAAACACATCACCTGCAATTTTATTGCAGAACAAGAAATTTTCCAATTTTCACATGAATAAAAATAAATAAATTGAAAATATGTCAATGAATAAATGAAAATGTCAGAAAGTAGATTCTTTTGCACCTCACAAATCTATTTGACTGAGTGATAAATTAGAGAAAGGAAGAGAAAAAAAAAACTTTAATTTATCTCACCTTTAAAGTGTTTTGGACAGCAGACAAATTCGACGCCAGAGAAGAGTGAAATGCCGCATGGTAGAAGCATAGCAAAGCTTCTCATTTGCATATTTCGTTCCTGACATGCAGCAGCGCCTGTTTGATTCCATCTCACAAAAGGCCAGCAGCGTGATGCATTATGAATGTGATCGAATAAGCATCCTTCCGGCACCAACAATGCGTCTGATTGGAATGGTCCTTCTGTTAATGAAAAGGAAGATAAGGGAAAGTCATTAGATTTAATGCACAAAGGATATAGCGTAGAACATAAAATAATCATGATTATGATGATGTTGATGAAAGAAAAAGTTTTGGATATACATGGAATATATATTTAATTAATTTAATAAGCTCGCATTTTATTATTGAATTAATTAAAAAAATTAAATTAATGTTTCTTAATTAGACGACAAAGGCGAACTTTCTTTTTCTCATCTCGTCCTCACTCACTCATTCCGAGAGCTCGTTGAAATTCATAAAAATGAAATTCTCCTTTTTCCTCATTTATTCAATTATTTTCGCTGTACTGTTGCTCCAAACTCATTTTTCTTTCTTCACATTTCTTGTTCTTTGTGTGACTTTCGGTGTGATAATTTTTTTGGATCTTGAATTCAGCTTGTCTAGTTCTACATATATTATTATCAAATCTTAAGCAACCTGACGCCTTGTTAGAGTTTATTGTAGGGACGTATCTAGTCTCTGATCTTTAAAGCCAAGGAAGTCATAATTATTGCCTATCAAAAAAATAAAATCTGAGGCTAGCATACAGAAAAAAGCACCTTGACCACATCATTCCGAGCAGTTTCTTTAACTTTTCTGCTTTCTCATCTCAATGTGCTTCTCATCGTCACATCGTCGCATACACCTTTATGCACAAGCAAACACCTTAATTATAATTATGATTCTTTCAACCCCTTTTTTTCGTCTTATTTCTTTTTGTCCCTAGTGCCAGTACGCATATTTCTTTCTCATCAACAACGCCAAAAGGAAATTCCGCTTCTTTTTTATTTGTTTCGAATTTTTCTTCTGACACTTTCGTCTTGTTTTATTTTTTTGTTAATGAATGAATAAAATAGAATGAAAATGATAAATTATGTTTTGCACAAAAAAGCAATAAACATGGAAGGAAAAAAAGGGAAATGAAGGCAAAAGCAGAGAATAAGGGAGAGAAATGGCAATAAAGCTTTTCTCGCAACAAATTGTTATAAAGCTAAAAGCTTTTTGAGAAACGTTGACAACTTTGTTTTATTGTTTGCTTGTCAGTTGTTCTGGAGAGGGTTAAAGAGTCGTAAAAAGAGAGCTGAATTGAGCTGAACTAGCGTTGAATTGAGCTAAGTTTAGCTGAATTAAGCTTAATTAAGCTGAATTGAGATAAATTGATGCTTAAATGATCTTCTTTGAGCTGAATTGAACTGAGCTGAGCTAAATGAAGCTGAATAAGCTGAATCGGGCTGAATCGAACTAAATTGAACTAGACTGATGCTTAAATAAGTTTAACAAAGCTGAGTTGAGCTGAATTGAGCTAAATTTTGCTGAATCGAGCTGAATTAAACTGGAAAGATGCTTAATTAAGCTAATTTGATCTGAATTAAGCTGAATTGATCTGAATTAAAGCAGAATTCAGCTGAATTTAAGCTGAATTGAACAAAATTGAGATGAATTGAAGCTGACTTAAACAAAATTGTAATATATTGATGCTGAATTCGTACTGAACTCCTGAAAACCTCAAAAAATCCTATCCATATCAACTTTCAATAAAAACATTTTTTTCTTAAAACTTATTTCTCCTTCATTTTCCCTTCAACAATTGCCAAGTATTAATGCCACTACAAAAAGCTACAACCACTTACAGTATTTCAAGGCAACACATTCTCACCGATTTGTTAACGTCGCAAACAGGAAGAATCTATGGCATTTCTCTTTTTAGTGGCAATATCAATGCAGTTTTTATGTTAAAAAAAACTTTCAACACTCGCAGTTGTGCTTGAAAAGCTTTTCGGGATTCCTTCTTGCACCCACATTTGCCACTATTGGAAAAGTTTCACAAGTGCTTTATTTAACTATTTGAACAATTTTTGCACTTCTATGTTCTTTATTTTCTCTCACTCAGCAGTTGTCGATATTTGTGCCATATAGAGAAAGCAAAAGCATTTTAAATGGCAGTAGAAAACAATAAATGACAAGAAAGAATTCAATAGAAATTCAATTCCTTTTTCTATTGTTGGATGTTGAAAAATATGAATGCGATGTGCGTGAAATATGCATAATGTACAATACATGCTGCATAATGTCAAAATAAAACGATAAAAGCTATTGTTGGAGTTGAATGGGATAGAATGGAGGGAGTATGGATTGTACATTGTTTTAAGTGCTGTGAATTAACGCGTTTTGATAAAGATGGAAAGGGATGTCTAGATTTTATGATTTTTCATCGACATTTACATATTAATCTAGAACTCAACCTTATATGTCTTGCAATTTTGATATATTTTATTTATGAACTCCAACCCAGATAACCAATCCAGATAACCGCGCTACATAATTTTTTGTGCTTTAAAAGTTCTGCAATTTATGACTTTACGAATAATGGAAAAAATTCATTCTCTCAGACTTTTTGAGCTCCAGGCTCATTTGTAATTTAGATATGACATAATAAATATATGCATGCATTATGTCTATGTAATAGAATATATTGTGAACATTAATCTCTATCTCTATGACTCGACATCATAAATATCTGTTGTCTATGTAAATATTATATTGATTTTATGACACATGACGCAGTTTTCTGTTTTTCTTGTTCAGTAATATCATTTTATTTTGGATGTTGGATGATATGCAAAGCTTGTTCGAGGATTTAAGGGTTATTAGTTACTCGAACATTCGAGAAATTATAATTTCACTATCGGGTCGTTCACTTATCACGTCTATCAAAAAACCTGATTTTTAGACCCCCCTCCCCCCTCTGTCACAAAAATTCTATAGAAAAAACTTTCCATTCTTTGAACTGTCACAAAATCCTAGACCCCCCTCCACCCTAAATGTCGGACGTCATAAGTGGGCCGTTCACATTCATAGCAATATATTATTTTATAAAACCGTTAAAGTTTGAATTCTACAAAACCGTTAAAGTTTCAATTTTACAAAACCGCTAAAGTTTGAATTTTACTAAAGCGTTAAAGTTTGAAGTTTACAAAACCGTTATCATTCAAAAATAAAATCGCTAAAATATTTAAATAATTAATTTATCACGTATCTCATCCAAAAATTCGCAATTACAAAATTCCTTCGAAAACGCAAGCAGAAAATTATTTCGTAAGCGCCACATCGACAGGCTCTAGCATGAATACATAAATAGGCAATATCTCAATGTGCATGCATGTGTTAGTACAGAAAATGTAATTAAAGCCCCTTTTTACATTCATTGCATTGATCCGCATAGATATGCACATACATGAATGCATGAAAATGCGATTACATTCTAAAGTAGCATCATCATCATGCACACGAGAATATGCAGACGAGAGTCGAGCAAAAACTAAAAGTTTAGTGCCTAAAGCTTTTTTAACTTTTTTTTGATGTAATTATATTTTCTGGGAAAACATCATCTCTGTCATCATTACATGGTGCTTTTTTGGATGAATATTTTTATATTCCACATACTTAGTCATGCCTTATTAATGAATGTTAAATATTTTCATGGAATTTTCATTTTGTAATTTTTAAAAGCAATATTTAGGGACGACGAGACCAAGCATGTATGAAATGTGACTCTTTGATAGGATATTTGATCCATAGAACGTGTGCTGATGATTTTTGAGGTTAGAAATATGAGGATAACATGCACGTTTATGAAAATTTAATATAGGAACTGAATTTTTTGTTTTGTGAGAATCTAGACTTCAACTTGACAAAAATTGCTATCATAATGATTTGTAATTGATAGCTGAGAATTAGGGGTTCTATGATGTTGCTAAGATGCATATTGTGAGCCAGATTTGAATCCTTGTCATATCAACAACACTTAGCAATGATTAAGAGATCACCCCTATGATAGGAATCAAACTCTAATTTTCAAGAAGAGAGGTTTCAGATTTATTGTCTGTTGCTTAACCATTCGGCCACAGAGAACTTGTTTTCACACTGGCAATTCAACCTACATTTGAGTCGAGTTACCAGATTTCTATATATATATATGTCAGATCCCAATCTAAGTTTTAGAGCACACCTACATCTTTGTAACATTGCAACTTACTTAGATTCTAGATAAATATCCCCAAAACATACCTATCATATTCCTTATTTATGAGTGCAGATATAATTCTTTGGAATTTATTTTATAGATCCAAGCCTGTGCAATAATCCTTCCAGTCTAATAAATCCTAATCCTCATATTTCAGTAACAATAACAATAAATACCCCTGTAGTCATAGTATTGATTCCTCAAGCTATACATCCCTGCACATGTCAATATCTATCAACTCAGATCTCCATAACAAGTACCAAAAATATCTATCGCTTAACATCACATAGCATGTAATGGAAATCAAATATGTAATGAGAATCATATTCAGCTCATAATCCTCGAATCAGATTAAATTAATGAAATTTTTGAAAGATTCAATTGCGTCGCTGTTTTTCACACGCTATAGGAAATGAGCTTAATGAGGAAATTTTTTTAACATTTGAAAGGAAATGAAAAAGGAAGAAAAGCAAATATTTGAGAAATGATAAATTGGAGATCCGAAACTTGCGATAAATAAAAATAAGTTTTTTCGTGATTTTTCGAGTTAACAGATTGGAACACAAAATCAATAAAATTTTATTACTGACTGAAAATGTCTGAATTGAAGTCATGCAAGCTTTTTGCTCTGATTCACAGTGTGTGACAGTAAGTGATTGACGTGCTTGTAAATTTTACATGTGAATGACCTTCGACGAGACTTTCATATTCACACAAAATTTTCAATTTTTGTGAATATTTGTCAATGTGGAATCTATCCCATAAGAAACTAGTGTGTACGAGAATACCGTAGCTTTGTTTTTGTTAGGATTCGAACCTTTGTAAATGTAGCTTTAATACTTTTTAATATCTCGATCTTAATTTTAAACATAATTAATTATGACAAAAGTTATATTCGAAATTAAACTTTCAAAAAAAATTAAATTTTCATGACGAAAAGTGAAAAAAAAATTATAAA